AGAGAGTGACACGTGACCTCCTGTACACCAGGCGAGCTGGCCAACACCTCGGCACTGTGATGATGATGATGATGAGAGTGACACGTGACCTCCTGTACACCAGGCGAGGTAGTCAACACCTCGCCACTGTGATGATGATGAGAGAGAGTGACACGTGACCTCCTGTACACCAGGCGAGCTGGCCAACACCTCGCCACTGTGATGATGATGATGATGAGAGTGACACGTGACCTCCTGTACACCAGGCGAGGTAGTCAACACCTAGCCACTGTGATGATGATGAGAGTGACACGTGACCTCCTGTATACCAGGCGAGGTAGTCAACATCAACACCTAGCCACTGTGATGATGATGAGAGTGACACGTGACCTCCTGTACACCAGGCGAGGTAGTCAACACCTCGCCACTATGATGATGATAATGAGAGTGACACGTGACCTCCTGTACACCGGGCGAGGTAGTCAACATCAACACCTCGCCACTGTGATGATGATGAGAGAGTGACACGTGACCTCCTGTATACCAGGCGAGGTAGTCAACACCTCGCCACTGTGATGATGATGATAGTGACACGTGACCTCCTGTACACCAGGCGAGGTAGTCAACACCTCGCCACTGTGATGATGATGAGAGAGGGTGACACGTGACCTCCTGTATACCAGGCGAGGTAGTCAACACCTCGCCACTGTGATGATGATGAGAGAGAGTGACACGTGACCTCCTGTATACCAGGCGAGGTAGTCAACACTTAGCCACTGTGATGATGATGAGAGAGAGTGACACGTGACCTCCTGTACACCAGGCGACGTAGTCAACACCTCGCCACTGTGATGATGATGAGAGTGACACGTGACCTCCTGTATACCAGGCGAGGTAGTCAACACCTAGCCACTGTGATGATGATGATGATGAGGGTGACACGTGACCTCCTGTACACCAGGCGAGGTAGTCAACATCTCACCTAGCCACTGTGATGATGATGAGAGAGAGTGACACGTGACCTCCTGTATACCAGGCGAGGTAGTCAACACCTCGCCACTGTGATGATGATGAGAGAGAGTGACACGTGACCTCCTGTATACCAGGCGAGCTAATCAACACTTAGCCACTGTGATGATGATGATGATGAGAGTGACACGTGACCTCCTGTACACCAGGCGAGGTAGTCAACATCTCACCTAGCCACTGTGATGATGATGAGAGAGAGTGACACGTGACCTCCTGTATACCAGGCGAGGTAGTCAACACCTCGCCACTATGATGATGATGATGAGAGTGACACGTGACCTCCTGTATACCAGGCGAGGTAGTCAACATCTCCCAGCCACTGTGGAGTCCCTTCCCTTTATTCTATTTGGCAACATCGCCTCTTGCTATTTATATTCATATAGTCTCACTGCAGCCATAGCAAGGGGGACCACTGCTCAGAGCGCTTACACGACACGGGGGGGGGGGGGCGGAGGGGGGCGAGTGGGGGGCGGGGAGGGCGAGGGGGGGGCGGGTGGGCGAGGGGCGGGGGGCGGGGGTCTCTGCGTTCGTCGAGAGTCTCGACAGCGTTGGCGCCCGTGGGGAGCGGTGGCGCTGCGGTTAGCGCGCGCCGCTGCCGCGCTACGACCCGACAGTGCACGGCGAACAGGTGCAGCGGTCCAGGCCACCTCCTCTAGGTCGACCCAGCCTGAAGTGAGTGTCCGTTGCAGTGCGTGCGCGTGCGTGGGGGGGGGGGGGAGCGGTGGTGCAGCGGTTAGCGCCACGCTGCGCTGCTAAACAGGGAGACCCCAGTTCGATTCCCGCTCACGGCCAACACCGTCAGTGACGATTATCTGAACCGGTACTGGGCCTCCGCTAGGTCGACTCAGCCTCAAGTGAGTAGCTGGGTGCGGTGCGTAGTAAACATCGCCACTGGGGGGAGAGACAAAGGCGGCCGGGCGTGGTGCTGGCCACCCACCCCCTCGTGTGCCGTGCCGGCCTTCATAGCTGCTGCTACTCGCTAACAGCACTTGCCCCTACGGCCTGTCGAGGCTACACGGGGGACCTTTGTCTGTGTGAACGTCAGTCCTGGGGAGACAAAGGCGGCCGGGGCGTGGGGGGTGCCGCCGTGCGGGTCCCACGTCACGTGACGGCTGCCCGCGGTGGGGGCGGGAACTTTGTCTGTTGCGTGTGAGGGAGGCGTGGTCACAATTCCGCGCTCCCATTGGTCGACCGCCCCCTCGCCGCCCCCTCAAACCACCCCCTACCCCTCCCCCCCGTGTCCCCCTATCACCACGACGTGCGTGGCGCGCGCTGCACGCGTGGCGAGAGCGTGCGGAGGTCAAGAGGTCACGGTGACCCGGGGGGGGGAATAGTGGGCGGTGCAGGGGAGGTGTCAATTAATCATCATCGTCATCATCATTGGTAGCAGATGGATGATGTGATAGTATCATAGTAATCATCATCATCATCGGTAGCAGATGGATGATGTGATAGTATCATAGTAATCATCGTCATCATCATCATCATCGGTAGCAGATGGATTATGTGATAGTATCATAGTAATCATCATCATCATCATCGGTAGCAGATGGATGATGTGATAGTATCATAGTAATCATCATCATCATCATCGGTAGCAGATGAATGATGTGATAGTATCATAGTAATCATCATCATCAGTAGCAGATGGATGATGTGATAGTATCATAGTAATCATCATCATCATCGGTAGCAGATGAATGATGTGATAGTATCATAGTAATCATCATCATCATCGGTAGCAGATGGATGATGTGATAGTATCATAGTAATCATCGTCATCATCATCGGTAGCAGATGGGTGATGTGATAGTATCATAGTAATCACCACCATCATCGGTAGCAGATGGATAAAGTGATAGTATCATAGTAATCATCATCATTATCGGTAGCAGATGGATGAGACGATAGTAGCATAGTAATCATCATCATCAATAGCAGAAAGATGATGTGATAGTATTATTGTTACCATCATCAGTACAGAAGGGTGATATGATAACATCATCGTCGTCGTCATCATCATCATCAGTAGCAGTAATTCCTCGGTTTAAGTCGGGGATGAGCTCCTTAACGGTGCGACGACGAATCTCGGAACGTCCGCCAATCAAATGCTAATTTGTTTATGCTAATTCCTTTGTCAAGGCACCTTAATCACTCTCACACAGCTTAAAGGCCGTGGTCTGAGCTTGGCTCTGTTTCACTCCAGCGCAGTCTTCGAGACAGCCTGGTCCCTTCACCTGATGAAGGCCGCTTGCATTGTGGCCGAAACGTCGTGATTTTTGTCGTTTTATTATTTACCTACGTGACTTTACCCAATAGAACCAAAGAGTACGGATCCTTGCAGTCACGAAAGCTTCAAATCTAGAATTCCTCCCCAACGTGCCCAAAACGCTGCGCGTAAATCACAGCATAATGTGCAGTCGACATCGCAGCGCGAGGTGCCTCGTGCACAGGGCTGTCGTGGGTTGCGACGTGGTGGTTGACGCCTGAGAGGCCACGGAAAGCGAGAAAGGAGGGGGACGATTCAAAGCGACGCAAGCGACGCGGGGTTTTGGGGGGCGACGCAAATTTGGGGAGCGCGAGACATGGCCACATTTGAGTTGTCACGAAGTGACGACGCATTCGCGAAACGAGGGGGGGCTTTTCATAGCTCATCGGATTCCCGCAGTGAAAGTCAAACTTCCGATTCTGATGCCGCTGCAAGCGACGTAAGCGCGGGGTTTTGGGGGGGGGGGGGGGGGGGTGAGGGCGACGCAAAATCGGCTCGCCTGCGGCGTTCGTGATGAAGCGACGACGCATTCGCGAAACGACGTTAACGTGGGAGAGATGTGCACACCTCGGGGTATTGGTGATGATGATCGGATGATGATGATCGGATGATGATCGGATGATGATGATGATGATCGTGATCATTATCATCATCATCAGCCACAGCAGTGATATTCAATTCATCATCGAGATCAGTGTGGGTCTTCTTCTTAACCTGGGGGTGCGAGACATGGACACGCACACGCGCGCGCGCGCACACAATGCGGTATCGATGTGGTGAGAGTTGTTAGCGAGGGAGTGGAGTTAGAGAGAGAGGGTGGTGAGGGAGTGGTGAGGGAGTGGTGAGAGGGTGGTGAGGGAGTGGTGAGGGAGTGGTGAGGGAGTGGAGTTAGAGAGAGAGGGAGGTGAGGGAGTGGTGAGGGAGTGGTGAGAGGGTGGTGAGGGAGTGGTGAGGGAGTGGTGAGTGGGTGGTGAGGGAGTGGTGAGAGGGTGGTGAGGGAGTGGTGAGAGGGTGGTGAGGGAGTGGAGTTAGAGAGAGAGGGTGGTGAGGGAGTGGTGAGGGAGTGGTGAGTGGGTGGTGAGGGAGTGCAGTTAGAGAGAGGGTGGTGAGGGAGTGGTGAGGGAGTGGTGAGTGGGTGGTGAGGGAGTGCAGTTAGAGAGAGGGTGGTGAGGGAGTGGTGAGTGGGTGGTGATAGAGTGGTGAGGGAGTGGTGAGGGAGTGGAGTTAGAGAGAGAGGGTGGTGAGAGGGTGGTGAGAGGGTGGTGAGGGAGTGGTGAGAGGGTGGTGAGGGAGTGGTGAGATGGTGGTGAGGGAGTGGTGTTAGAGAGAGAGGAGGGTTGAGAGAGAGAGGGTAGAGGTGAGTGGGAGGAGAGAGGGTGGAGCTGAGGGCGGTGGAGGGAGTTGAGTGGGAGGGAGTTGAGTGGGAGGGAGGGAGCTGAGTGGGTGGGAGGGAGCTGAGTGGGAGGGAGGAGGGAGCTGAGTGGGTGGGAGGGAGTTGAGTGGGAGGGAGTTGAGTGGGAGGGAGGGAGCTGAGTGGGTGGGAGGGAGCTGAGTGGGAGGGAGGAGGGAGCTGAGTGGGTGGGAGGGAGTTGAGTGGGAGGGAGGGAGCTGAGTGGGTGGGAGGGAGCTGAGTGGGTGGGAGGGAGCTGAGTGGGTGGGAGGGAGGAGGGAGCTGAGTGGGAGGGAGGAGGGAGGGATGAGCCCATTATAAACGGAGCTCATGGGGCAGAGAACGCGCGCCGCTGTGATCGAGGCCTCACCTGAACCCCGCTCTCACCTGAGCCCCCCTCCCCGCCCCATCCCACCTGAGCCCCCCAACTCACGTGAGCCCCCCCCCTCCCCTCTCTCACCATGAAGACCATCATCGCTGCTGCGTACAACTCCGTCGACTTGGCAGGTGAGCGGCTTCGCGGGGGCTCGCCGCGGTTCGTCACAAAGAAACCGGCGGGCCGCCCCGGTCAACGCCTGGCTCGCGTCTGTGGCGTGCGCCGTGAAGAAGGGACATTGGCCCGAAACGTCGCCCGTTTTATTACAGCGCTTACAGGTTGCGTCGGTAATCTGTGGCATGGGGCTCTTTGGCTGCTACACCCGCCCCCCCCCAACCCCCCCCGTTTTAAAGTGAATGAAACTAATCATTAAACCTTAAAAACATAATTTAGCGTAAAGATAATAAAGGTGGGAGTAGGGGGATCACTGTGGGATGTCTTGGTTAGAGACGCACAGAACGTCGGGCAAACAGTCGCACGCTGCCTTGTTCGAATAACAAATCGAGCAAGTGTATTCCAGCCTCGGACACGTTTATTGGCGTGAGAGTGTGGCTGTGTTTGTTGTTGTTGTTGTTGTTTGCCAGCGGTGTTTGTGTAGCTCCGCGCGCGCGCTCTCACGAATTATGTTTGCGTCGAAGGCAAACAAACTTTCAAAGCATTGCTCTGCCGCTATTGGCGCTTCCTCCTCTGATGCTGCTGATGCTTCTTCGAAAGATTTCGCCGAACTCCGCTCTACACTTGCGTCCGCCGTTCGCTTTTGATGTCATAGCCGTTTTTGTTGTTGTTGTTGTTGACACGTTGCGGTTGTTGTTGGTTGTTGGTTGTTGTTGTTGTTGGTGCGCCACTGCAAACTCGGTAAGCGGCGGCAATCAACAAAGTAATTCCAGACTTAGGACTTTGACCAAAATGATTTCAAGTATTTAGTCGGCGTGGATCAACACTTACTCTCTCTGCTGAAGCAGACACACACATTGTAGCTGTGTGTGTAGTTGTGTGTGTAGCTGTGTGTGTAGCTGTGTGTGTACCAGTGTGTGTGTACCAGTGTGTGTGTACCAGTGTGTGTGTGTACCAGTGTGTGTGTGTAGCAGTGTGTGTGTGTGTAGTTGCATGTGTACCAGTGTGTGTGTGTGTAGTTGCATGTGTACCAGTGTGTGTGTGTGTAGTTGTATGTGTACCAGTGTGTGTGTGTGTAGTTGTATGTGTACCAGTGTGTGTGTGTGTGTAGTTGTATGTGTACCAGTGTGTGTGTGTGTGTGTAGTTGTATGTGTACCAGTGTGTGTGTGTGTGTGTAGTTGTATGTGTACCAGTGTGTGTGTGTGTAGTTGTATGTGTACCAGTGTGTGTGTGTGTGTAGTTGTATGTGTACCAGTGTGTGTGTGTGTAGTTGTATGTGTACCAGTGTGTGTGTGTAGTTGTATGTGTACCAGTGTGTGTGTGTAGTTGTATGTGTACCAGTGTGTGTGTGTAGTTGTATGTGTACCAGTGTGTGTGTGTAGTTGTATGTGTACCAGTGTGTGTGTGTAGTTGTATGTGTACCAGTGTGTGTGTGTAGTTGTATGTGTACCAGTGTGTGTGTGTGTAGTTGTATGTGTACCAGTGTGTGTGTGTGTAGTTGTATGTGTACCAGTGTGTGTGTGTGTGTAGTTGTATGTGTACCAGTGTGTGTGTGTGTGTAGTTGTATGTGTACCAGTGTGTGTGTGTGTGTAGTTGTATGTGTACCAGTGTGTGTGTGTGTAGTTGTATGTGTACCAGTGTGTGTGTGTGTAGTTGTATGTGTACCAGTGTGTGTGTGTGTAGTTGTATGTGTACCAGTGTGTGTGTGTGTGTAGTTGTATGTGTACCAGTGTGTGTGTGTGTGTAGTTGTATGTGTACCAGTGTGTGTGTGTGTAGTTGTATGTGTACCAGTGTGTGTGTGTGTGTGTAGTTGTATGTGTACCAGTGTGTGTGTGTGTGTGTAGTTGTATGTGTACCAGTGTGTGTGTGTGTGTGTAGTTGTATGTGTACCAGTGTGTGTGTGTGTGTGTAGTTGTATGTGTACCAGTGTGTGTGTGTGTGTGTGTAGTTGTATGTGTACCAGTGTGTGTGTGTGTGTAGTTGTATGTGTACCAGTGTGTGTGTGTGTGTAGTTGTATGTGTACCAGTGTGTGTGTGTGTGTAGTTGTATGTGTACCAGTGTGTGTGTGTGTGTAGTTGTATGTGTACCAGTGTGTGTGTGTGTGTAGTTGTATGTGTACCAGTGTGTGTGTGTGTGTGTAGTTGTATGTGTACCAGTGTGTGTGTGTGTGTAGTTGTATGTGTACCAGTGTGTGTGTGTGTGTAGTTGTATGTGTACCAGTGTGTGTGTGTGTGTAGTTGTATGTGTACCAGTGTGTGTGTGTAGTTGTATGTGTACCAGTGTGTGTGTGTGTGTAGTTGTATGTGTACCAGTGTGTGTGTGTGTGTGTAGTTGTATGTGTACCAGTGTGTGTGTGTGTGTGTAGTTGTATGTGTACCAGTGTGTGTGTGTGTGTGTGTAGTTGTATGTGTACCAGTGTGTGTGTGTGTGTAGTTGTATGTGTACCAGTGTGCGTGTGTGTGTAGTTGTATGTGTACCAGTGTGCGTGTGTGTGTAGTTGTATGTGTACCAGTGTGCGTGTGTGTGTAGTTGTATGTGTACCAGTGTGCGTGTGTGTGTAGTTGTATGTGTACCTGTGTGGGTGTGTGTGTAGTTGTTTGTGTACCAGTGTGCGTGTGTGTGTAGTTGTATGTGTACCAGTGTGCGTGTGTGTGTAGTTGTATGTGTACCAGTGTGCGTGTGTGTGTAGTTGTATGTGTACCAGTGTGCGTGTGTGTGTAGTTGTATGTGTACCAGTGTGCGTGTGTGTGTAGTTGTATGTGTACCAGTGTGTGTGTGTGTAGTTGTATGTGTACCAGTGTGTGTGTGTGTAGTTGTATGTGTACCAGTGTGTGTGTGTGTGTGTAGTTGTATGTGTACCAGTGTGTGTGTGTGTAGTTGTATGTGTACCAGTGTGTGTGTGTGTAGTTGTATGTGTACCAGTGTGTGTGTGTGTGTGTAGTTGTATGTGTACCAGTGTGTGTGTGTGTAGTTGTATGTGTACCAGTGTGTGTGTGTGTAGTTGTATGTGTACCAGTGTGTGTGTGTGTGTAGTTGTATGTGTACCAGTGTGTGTGTGTGTGTAGTTGTATGTGTACCAGTGTGTGTGTGTGTGTAGTTGTATGTGTACCAGTGTGTGTGTGTGTGTAGTTGTATGTGTACCAGTGTGTGTGTGTGTGTGTAGTTGTATGTGTACCAGTGTGTGTGTGTGTGTGTAGTTGTATGTGTACCAGTGTGTGTGTGTGTGTGTAGTTGTATGTGTACCAGTGTGTGTGTGTGTGTGTAGTTGTATGTGTACCAGTGTGTGTGTGTGTGTAGTTGTATGTGTACCAGTGTGTGTGTGTGTGTAGTTGTATGTGTACCAGTGTGTGTGTGTGTGTGTAGTTGTATGTGTACCAGTGTGTGTGTAGTTGTGTGTGTAGTTGTATGTGTACCAGTGTGTGTGTAGTTGTATGTGTACCAGTGTGTGTGTGTGTGTGTAGTTGTGTGTGTGTGTGTAGTTGTATGTGTGTGTGTGTGTAGTTGTATGTGTACCAGTGTGTGTGTGTGTGTGTAGTTGTATGTGTACCAGTGTGTGTGTGTGTGTGTAGTTGTATGTGTACCAGTGTGTGTGTGTGTGTGTAGTTGTATGTGTACCAGTGTGTGTGTGTGTGTGTAGTTGTATGTGTACCAGTGTGTGTAGTTGTATGTGTACCAGTGTGTGTGTGTGTGTGTAGTTGTATGTGTACCAGTGTGTGTGTGTGTAGTTGTATGTGTACCAGTGTGTGTGTGTGTGTGTAGTTGTATGTGTACCAGTGTGTGTGTGTGTGTGTAGTTGTATGTGTACCAGTGTGTGTGTGTGTGTGTAGTTGTATGTGTACCAGTGTGTGTGTGTAGTTGTATGTGTACCAGTGTGTGTGTGTGTGTGTAGTTGTATGTGTACCAGTGTGTGTGTGTGTGTGTAGTTGTATGTGTACCAGTGTGTGTGTGTGTGTGTAGTTGTATGTGTACCAGTGTGTGTGTGTGTGTGTCAGTGTGTGTGTGTACCAGTGTGTGTGTGTGTACCAGTGTGTGTGTGTGTACCAGTGTGTGTGTGTGTGCCAGTGTGTGTGTGTACCAGTGTGTGTGTGTGTACCAGTGTGTGTGTAGCTGTGTGCTTAGTTTTTTTTGGTGGGGCTGATGGTAAGGCCCCATCTCCTTGTGCCACTGAGATATGAGGCCTTACCATCAGCTCCATCAAAACTAAGCACCTGCCTGGGTATTTTGTACCATTTGACACTCCACCCCCACAACTCCCAATTGGTGATGGGGCAGTTGTGGAGAGAGTGGAGAGTTTCCCATACCTGGCAATGTGCTTATGACCGGCTCCAGTTTAACAGCAGAGGTCTCACTCCGAATCAGTCGAGAGGCATTATCTTTTCATCGGTTGCGTAACGCTGTGTGGAAGCTGCCTGGTCTGTCGCTCCGCACTAACCTTCAGGTCTTTTCGGCCACGGTCATGCCCTCCCTTCTCTACGCTTGCGAAACGTGGACCTCCCTAACAGAACATCTTCGCCCGTTAGAAACATTTAGGCTAGCCTGCCTACGATCCATCCTGGGTTTAACCAGGCTGGATTGTGTGAGGAGCTCACAAATCTTTGAAATATCTGGGCAAGATCCCATCGGTGTGCTCCTCCGGCAGGCAAGGCTGCGATGGCTGGGTCATGTAGCCCGCATGCCCAGCCACCGCATGCCGAAACAGCTTTTGTTTGGCCGGATCGAGGGGGCTAAGCGGGCGTGGCACGGGCTAGAGAGGAGATGGAGTGATGTGGTACAGGAGGACGTGGAGCTGAGTGGACTTGTCGATGACCGGTACCAGCGGTGTCAAGATCGGCCTCTGTGGAGGAGGCTCGTGAAGGATGCTAATGGGCAGTTGGAGGCAGTCGCCCTCCAACAACAACGGAGGGCGGAGGAGCGACGCTCACAACAACGAGCGGAGCGCCGGGTGGCTAAAGCACAGCAGATTGGCACAGTAGGGGGCACAGGTGGTGCATCCGCCAGTCATCTCAGTCAGTC